TGGGGAACATGAGTGAGGAAAATGGAAAAGTGGGTAGTGAGTGGAGAAAGTGGGGAAAGTGGGTAGTGAGTAGAGAAAGTGGGGAAAGTGGGTAGTGAGTAGAGAAAAGTAGGAATAAATTCAAAAATGATCAAAAATAAGTTGCTCACATCTACCCCTTTCAAAAAGTTCTCAACCACAGACCCCCATGGCGTCTTCTTCTTCTTCCCTTCACCACACACAGAAATCGGCCACCCCTCACCTCCCTTGACCACGTCGACGCCAACTCCCTTTCCAAAATTCATAGCCATCCTTCCAATCTCCTTCCTCATCTCACTCATGTGTTCTCTGAAGATACACATGCACATCATATACTAAAAAAATGAATGAGTTTGGACTTTAAAAAATCTGAAAACTAGATCTGGGTTTGTGTAAGCTATTGAAGTTCAAATTTGTGATTATGTTGATGATTTTGGCTGTTTCAAAACTGTTGAGCTCTAGCTTTAAGTGGCAGACCTTCATTTGTCAATCTCAGTTGTTCTCATTGTCTAGGTACATGTGTATATCTCTATTACTTTTAGTTGAAATCATTAATGAAATTTGAACTGTTTTTTGTCTAATTTTATAAGTATAAAATGTTTAATGACTGAATTTGTTTGAGAACTTCTTCTCTACTAATCTCTAATAATAGTAGTGTGTTTAGTTGACCAAGTAGGCGTGTTAAGCCCGCCCCGATTGATATAGCATTTAAGTTGATTAATTGGATGGGAAATGAAGGTTAAAACTAGCTATTACTATAAAGGGGCGATTACTATTTTTTTTAGTGATTGATTCCCTTAATTGAAGTTTGTGGTCAATTCTGGAAATGACCGTGTATGTATACGTTATTCAATCCATATGTGATTGTATGGTTGTTGATTTCTATTTGTTGAAATTGGTTATTAGTTAATTCTTTTTTTAAAATAGTTAGACATAGATACGCTCAGATTTGAGAGGGCTTTCGAAAAGCTGCCATGCCATTATTTGTAACATGAGGGCACATATCTGTGTAGATATTCAAACTGCTACAATCGCCCAATAGATCAAAATTGAATTTGGAAGGCAGGTTGTAAATATAGTCAGATGGGAATCGATATTCTTTGGGCTAAAAAAAAGACTAGGAGAAAAAGAAACCAAATCATCAAGGATGTTGTAAAAGAACAAGGATTTTCAAATGGGGTTGAATATCTTTCAACGAAGTAAAATTTTTCTTTCTTGATTCGTTTTCTTCATCTTTCTCCTTTGTAGAAAATTTGAAATTATTTTTTTCGCCACATGATGGACTCTTGATTACATGAACAACCCCATAAATATCGTAGTTTACTTTAGATGCAATTAATGAATTATCGTGACCATGGGTACGGTTTCCGTGGAATGGTCGCGATACGTAAATCCTAATTCGAGTGTGCGTCACGTGACTCAATCGTAACTTCAATAATAACTAAATTAAACATGTAGTAGATCATGGGTACGGTTCCCGTAATGCAATTCGCAATGTGTACAAAAATAAACGATTGCGCGATATTGTGACTTGTTCAAACAAATTCCATAAATCATTAAAAGCGGTTTAAAAAGTCAAAAAATGCACAATAGGTTCTAAATATGCAATAAATCAGATAATTAGGCTAAGTATTAATAGTTGAGTGACCGTGCTAAAACCACGAAACTGTGGAATGCCTCACACCTTCTCCTGGGTTAACAGAATGCCTTACCCGGTCTTCCGTGTTTGCGAACCATAAATAAGAGTCAATTTCCTCGATTTGAAATTTAAAAATAAACCGGTGACTTGGGACACCATATAATTATCCCAAGTAGTGACTCTGAAAAATAAATAAATTATTTCATTTCGATTAATGTCACTTAAATTGGAAAAACTCCCTACCCTTCCCCCCTCCCGGGAAAAAGAATGTGTGCCAGCTCTGGCAACTCTGCTAGGGAACATACCTATAATCTCTGGTTCAAGGTTCAGAATTCGAGATTAGAATCACTGTTATGCTTGGCTTTTATTTATTATCTGATTTTTTCGTGTGTTGAGCCTAATATGCTAAATTCCACTTTTTACCGCTTTGATATTGTGTGAACTGTATATAAACTGTTACANCCCGCCCCAGCTCAAGTTTTTTGCTCGGGTAAGCCACGTCTAGAACAATACACCCAGGTTTTTAACTTAGAATAACATAACCTCATGACGTATCCCTAGTAGGAACGCTTGTTTGCATCACGTACATTTGACTTTGGGGATTCAACACGGGGGTTGAGTCCGTCTAGGTCAGGTGTACCCGAAGTAAAAAAAAGACCATCTTGATGCATTTCACGTGCTACTTGTGCATTTATTTGCTTCGGCTTGCATGTTGACCGGCTTCTAGAATAGGGAAGAAAAATCAAGAAAAAAAAACAAAATTAAGGTAGGAGAGAGAAAATCATCCGTCTCTGAAAATCATGGTGTTCAAAATATCTCAAAACTATGTCGAAATTTTGAAAAAAAAAAGAGAAGAAAAAGTCATATTTTCCAGTTGCGTCAAAACTGACCGAACTACACGGGTTTGATTCTCATCGGATGTGAGATACGTAGGTAAACCTTATCGGTTCCGGCCCCAATTTTAAAAAATCCAAATTTTTTTTAATTCCTTCTTTAGAAGCATTTCCTTAGAAAATTCAAAAAAAAAAAAAAGAATTTTAAACTCAAAAAAATAGTTTCCTTCTTTCTTAAGTCTTTCATACGGAAAAAAATAAAAATAAAAATCAATCAAAATTCAAAATTCAACGGGTTTCCTTTATTTTGAAGTATTTTCCCCCAAAATTCAAAAAACTCAGAAAAAAAAGAATCCAAAAAAATATATTCTTTTCCTTCTATAAAAGTCTTTCTTTCGTAAACATCATTAAAAAAATTGAAGTCCAAAAATATTTTCGTTTTTCTTTAGAAATACTTTTGTAAATTAAAAAAAATTCTCAGAAATCCAAAATATTTTCTTGAAAGTCCCTCTTTCAAAAATTAAGAGGCAACATCCAAAATCAAAAGAAAAGGAATTGTTAAAAGTCTTTCTTTCAAAAAAAAAAAAAAACAAATCAAAAATCAAAAATCAAAAATCAAAAATCAAAATCCAAAATATTTTCCTTGTTAGAAGCTTTTAAGGTATGATTTGTCTATTTAACATTGTTGAATAAATTAATAAACAAAAATTTAGCTCATTTACTTTGTTCCTAATATTCCCAAATTACGCAAGATCTGTTTCATGCGGCGTCATTATACGTAGGCAATCCCCATTCGATTCGATCATAATAAAAAAAATCAAGTGAAAAATAAAATGAAAAAGAAAGAGAAAGTAAAATTGAGTGAAAAAGAAAAAAAAGAGTGACAAAATAAATGAATAAAAGAGTGACAAAAACAAAAGGAAAAAAAACCCGGCAAAAACAAAATGAGAAAATCAATACTAATTAAAGAGAGGCAGAAATGAAAGAAAAAGGGTTACATAGTGAAAATAGGATTAGTTCAAGTCGGGATGAAACATGCAACCGATCAAACACATGGTAGAAGCGTTTAATTGTTTAGGTGCATTGCATCCTAGCGTGCGATTTCCTATCTGTTAAGCGTCTCAAAACTAACAAGTTTGTTGGGTGTACAAATTAGCCAGGTTCTGTTCAGGTGGTTGGTTTTGTTGGTAATCTAGCATTCCATCCTTACTTCACAAGATCTAAAGGCATGGTTCATATGGCCTCGGTCCTACCATACTATTATCCCTTTCAAGATGCTGCTTATGATTTGGCACCGCCTTCCTATGCGGTGATGAACACGCAACCTTACATGCCGCCACCACATTATACACAAAATCGAGCTCCACCTCTCAGAAATGTCCGTCCTTACCAAGCTCCATATAATCCCTAACCAAATGTATCCCAATACAATTCTCGCCAAAGAGAGTCTTTCAGAAAGAATCAGTCACCCCTATTGGTGAACCGTATTCAAGCTTGTTCCAAAAGCTAATCAGGAAAGATCTATTGCAGCCAGTGGCCCCGAACCGGCCAGACCCCGAGTCTCCCTCACACCGAGCTGATGCAAGATGTGAATACCACTCTAGAGCAGTGAGACACAGTATAGAGGACTGTTGGACCCTCAAAAGGGCAGTTGAAGATTTGATTGAAGCTGAAAGAATCGTTCTTCGGGACGAAGAGGCTCCTGATGTAACAAATAATTCGTTGCTTGCTCACAACACCGGGCCAATAGTCGGAATGATTTGTGAAAATGAGGATTTGATCTGGCACTGAAGGCCTTTGCAGCCACTGCCGAGACAGAGGAAAAGCCAAAAAACGGTCGCCAAGCCTAAAAGATCCCTATCAGACGGGAGTCTCGGTAGCCAGTTTTGCTATCCTTTTTGCGTCCGGATTATCTCAGGGTGTGATCCGGATGAGTTTTACTTTATTGTCTTAATTCCCGATGTAAACCCTTCTATCTTTAAAATTCAAAAAAAAATCAAAAAGAAAAATCGAATGAAATTAATATTTCATTGTCCTAGAATGTCTCTTTTCTTAATCTTGTCACTTTTATTATACTCTTTACAGTTCTATTAAGTGCAGATTTCAATTACATGACATGCTTGCGGACTTCATGCCCAGATTTTAAAATGCTGTCAAACTTCGAAATAATGAATCAAGAATCAGAATGCAATGAAGATAGGTTTAAGGAAATAAAACAAAGAATCGGAACAGCTAAAGGAAAATCACTACTATAACAAAGGCCTTTAACGTCAATTATTTAGCGGCAATAGGGTAATTGTTGCTCATAGATTCTTTAAGCTGAAATATTAGCGGCATATGATTATTGGCCAGTAAAAGATATTCTTTAGTGACACTAAAAAAAATGCCACTAAAAACCATTAACTGATACCAATTTTTGTTATTTTAACTTTCCCTCCGTACAAAATAAAATAAAATCTTCCTTCCAATATTTTGGGCAAGAATTAAGTATTCCCTCTGATTAGAAAAAAGAAATCTATTCCCTTCTGCCAATACTAATTTTGCCAAAAAGAAAAAAATGCGACTAAACCTATTCCATTTCAACAGTTTCCGGCCTGCGAAATCGCTCAAGTTAACAGTCTCTGGTTAACAAAATTGTTGCGGCCTGTGACATTCTCCACCTTGCCACAGCTCCGACGATCATCTTCCCAAATCCCAGGTAACTTTCTCTTTTTCCCCAGGTAAATTTTGCGAAATCTGTTGTTAATATTCTTTCTCTTATCTGTCTTCCCCAAATCTGCAAAATTTTGCAAAATCTTCCCCAAATTAGCTAAGAATGAGAGCTCTGATTTACGAATCATGAATATATCGGAGTTTAAGGTAAGAAGAATTCCGTCATGCCTGCTAATAAATCAATATCAGTACATAAATTACATACGTCAATGGGTTGCAACTGGAAGGCGGTATCTACTCTTTGGACTTTAGGGGCATAAGACGATTAATGCCGAGTTTAATTAGTCATGCTTTTGACTTGCTTGTCTTGTTGTAATGCCATATTGATTCACTACTTCCAGTATTATGGCAAATAGGTTGATATAGTTTAAGCTTTCTCCTCAAATCTGTTTCCTTCATGGAAAATGGATTCAAGTTATATGTTATTTTCCTTGTTATAAATGCAAAGAAGAAAACATTACAACAATATAGACTTGGACAACTTAAAGAAGAAAAGAGAATGCCCTTAACTTAATTTATCTGTTTGCATGTTTTCTTCAATATATATCGGATCTTCCCCAAATCTGCTCGATTATGCTTAATCATCCTTGTCAATCTTCTCCCTCTCATCTATCTTCAACTTCACTTTTCGTGTAGGTTTCAAGATTGCTGCATAAATCATTATTCTCCTTCACTTTCTTGTCTTTATCGGAGAAAAATTCTGCTTACCAGGTACTAATCCGTACTTTCTCTCTCTCTCTCTCTCTCTCTCTCTCTCTATATATATATATATATATATAAACCACTAGGCTTGATGCCTTGTGCTGAATATATAAATAATAATCCAAAATGGGAATCCAGTTATTACAAAATTGTAAAGTATGTAGAAAAGGTACCAAAGCCAGAAAATCTAACTATTACAAATGCGAAATACTGGACATATTCCAGATTTAGGTGATTTTTGTCTCCTCTATTCAATTGCATAACCTCCACGTAGCACCTCCCGAGCTCTCACCTGGCGCCATGTTTTGCGATTGAACTGTGAGTGTCCAAGTATCACCAATTAGTTCTTGTTCTGCCAAAATACGCAATGTTAATTGCATTCATCTCGAGGATTGTAGTCCGGACTGTCTGTAAAAGAGTTCTGGTTTCAGTGGTGTCATGTGTGGCCTGATTCCGATTTTGTTGTGGCTTTTAGGGTAGTCTATTTCCAGTTTCATGTTTGCACTATAACATAGTACTCAGATGGATTGAATTACAGAAACCCATTTGAAGCTACCTCGGCCATGACTTTGTGATATCTTCTTGGAATCAATTGTTGTTTGCATAACTCGATACAGATAAGTATCTTTTAGAACTTTTGCAGGCCTTTGTTAAGTTAGTTGTGGTCTTCTCCAGTCACTACAGCACCAGTTACTTGTAACCAAGATGGAAGAATGTGCATTGTTTCCTCTATTTACAATAGCATTGAACTCTTGTGTTTGGTTATCCATTGATCATCAGAAAATTTCCATTTTGTGCACTGGTATGTATTTTGCCATCTGATAAAATCAGTGTCACTAGAAGCCTCCCAGTGTTGTAATAGCAACATTTGCACGTCAATATGGGAAGTTTCTTTTTGCAATTTTAACCCTTAGATTGGTATTTGTGACTTGTCCATTATTAATCTCCTCCCTGCTGTAGGAAGTTCTGTGAAAGAGTGAAATTGAGTTGTCTTTGCAAAAGAAAAGGCAATGTTAGCTATATAATCTACTAAAGTGTTTCCTTCTCCGTAAACACGTTGAAAGATCCCATTGAAATGATCCCTCAACGCCTGAATCTTCTGCACTTTTGCCCTTATAAACTAAGGTGGGTCCCATTCCCTTTCCATAATATTCTTCAACAACAAGCAATCTGTCTACATCAATGTTGCATACAAGAAAATCTTATTTCCTCACTTCTGGTGGTAAATTGCATATCCCCTATCACTATTATCAGAGTATCTGAAACTTCTATTACGGCTGTAGTTTCAACTGCCTTTATCTAGTAGGTTTTTGTACCACAATGTATAGTTGCAAATCTGATCGATATGTAGTAGGTAATAATATAGTTCCTGAGTTACTAGTTTTAGCTCTTCTCATTGCTTAATAAACTAGTAGTAGTAATCTAATGACAATGATGGGATATCTTCAGTTTGTCATTATTTGTTACTTTCAGTGTAAACAGGATCTTACGCATAGAGCAACAATCTGGATAACTTAAAGGTTTTCCATGTTATTAACTTATTATCAATTTACTACGCTGCAAAATACAATTAGTTGAAGTGAGCTATACGATATTCTCTGCATTCAGTATAGTCTGTTCAAGGTAAATATCATCAAATTGAAACTATCTACAATAGGAAAGAAGTTCTTAATGTGTAAAGGTTGTAAAAATAAAGTTAGCTGCAGTTTTTAGTTTCCTTTAACTTAGCACCACACATATCCAAGTTGGGTAATAGCTGGATGTTACACTTGTAGCATATGTTTGGTTACTTGATTTTAGTTTTGAGTTTTGTACTTGTAGCTTGCGGAGTTATAAAGTTAGGAAAAATTACATGATGTAAGGTCATTCCCATAGTGATCACCAAATAAAGAAGCTGATCCTAGTGTTGGATTGACTAGGTATAAACAGTTAAGCTTCCAAAAAATGAGGGAGCACAACTCCCTTTTTCTTTGTCCCTTGGCCTGTTAATCCTCAATGAATTGTTTGGTTTTAGTAAGTAGGAAAACTTCTAAACACATTGAAGCATTTTCTATAAACACACGTGTGTTTGTTGGTTTCAATTGATTTTGCGATGTATCTAAGTGAGCCGTCAATACTATTGATAAACTTGCTACTTGCACATATTTCTGTTTAACACTGTTGTCAGTATGTGCAAAATTGGCATAGCAAAGCCACAAAATATCTCAATTCCCATTTTTGAAAAGAGAGCTTGTGGGTAGCCTTTCATAGTTGAAATTTATTTAGTGGGAGAAATTCTTCTCTTGTGTCTTGTAAACCGTAAGCTTAATTTCGGTAGCCTCCTGATATTTTATATGACCAAAAGCAATTATATAGTGCAGGACTGTCTGCAGAGATTCAATGAGCCTAGCTTGTTACTGCAGATCTTAGGATTGTTTGCAAACATGGTCTGGCATAAAGTGAATTTCTAGAGGAAAAGCTACTTCATATTAATGCTGACTCACCTTTGGTTTCTCAAATATCAAGTCATCAGGGGATAAGAAACCATGTAGCATGGCAGATCACATCGTAATATTGTCTACATAATTGATAGAATTCAGCACGATGAATGATGAGTCACAAGTACATATCATAGGAAAAAATCTGCATACTAGATCCTTGCTTAGTCTAGCCATCTCCGCATTGGATAGCAATACCTAAACCAATTTCTCTGGTAACTAACATGGTCTTGCCTATACCTTGTTTACTATATTGGGCAACAAGAAAAAAATTGACACCTAAGGCTTGGAGCAGAGGTGAAGAGAGGACAAGGGGAGTTCAATAATTCTCTATTACATAAGCACACAAGAGGTAGAGAATTCTATTCATATTTGATAATTTCAAATATTATACACGGGGAATGAAAAGACGGACTATCATATATTTACTAGATTTGCTTATTTTTGAACAGATACAATCACTAAAACAAATCAAAGAAGCCTCTGAAACACAACAACAACAACAACAACCCAGTATAATCTCACTTAGTGGGGTCTGGGGAGGGTAGTGTGTACGCAAACCTTACCCCTACCCTAGGGTAGAGAGACTGTTTCCAAATAGACCCCCGGCATCCTTCCCTCCAAGAACTTCCCACCTTGCTCTTGGGGAGACTCGAACTCACAACCTCTCGGTGATGTTTCATTTAGTAAATGATGTAAAGGAATGCTGTAAAATTGCATGATTTCTATTATGAAGTAGGTTCTTGAATAAGTGATTGTCCGTGTTCTCTGAGTATACTCTAGTCTTAGATGTTTCATTGTTTCATCTTCTTACTGTTTTTACTGTGCATAAACCGAGGTTTTATCATGATATTGTTAACAAATGAGACAAATCATACGCAAATATGCTCCTAATGTATTGATGACTCAAAGTAGCAATTGGCACCTCATGTGAACATAAACTTTAAACATTTTAATGAAATTCTGATCATATAAAAGTATTGTTATCTAACATGTTAATATTTATTAGGTCCCCGACGCCAACTGTGGACATGAACGAGTACCACAAATATCAAGGATACCTAGTGTTACTGAAAATGCTCAACCTTCTCACGATACTGCTCATCTTTGAGTTTTCCTCCTTCGATTTTTATTAATTTGTTATAGTATTTGGGCTTACTTGAATGCTTCTTGCTTTTATATATTTTCTTTTCTCACTGTTGGTTTCTGTCTCAACACTATATATCTTTTACCATTAGAAATTGTCTTCTGTGTCTTCTTTAGACTATTACAATTAGAAATAGTCTTCTGTGTCTTCTCAATAATATTTTTATTAATTTCTTACTTTTAGCTAAACAATATATATCTTTTACAATTAGAAATAGTCTTCTGTGTCTTCTCAATAATATTTTTATTAATTTCTTACTTTTAGCTAAACAATATATATCTTTTACAATTAGAAATATTCTTCTGTGTCTTCTTTAACCTCTTCTTTACATATTGTACTTTTCATTACCTAATAAGCCTCTTAAAGTTTGTGACTTTGTTTAAGATACCTAAAATACGTTGAAGAATAAACTCCAGATCTTCCATGTTTGATGGCTATGCAAGCACAAATTGTCTAATAATTCTGAGGACCTACAAAAAAATAATCTGCTACAGTAGTTGAAGCCTCTTCTCTGGGGCCTATCATGAGTTAAACAATATTTTGAGCACACTGGCTCGTGGAGATGTATTGATGATAAGAAGCATTAGCCTTTAGAGGGGGATTTTCAAAAAGTGGTGTAGGGAATTCATGAAAATATAGGTTTTTAGCTGTGAGGGTCAATACTCAAAATCATGGACACAAAACTTAGCCTGACGAATATGAGTGGTTGCTCCAACATAGTGTACCGGGATATTATATGAGGAGATAAGCCTAGGAAGGTGGAGAAGCTGGTTGAGATGACCTTGTGCTGAAAGTGGCACCATTAAGATAACCACTTGTGCATCTTGAACACCATTTTGGTCATGGCTTTTTGTGTGGTAGTTCTTAGCCATTGGGAAGGTATAGAATTTTTGCAGTTTTATGAGTGTCTGAAGCTTCCGAAGTGTCTTGAATAATATGCAGGTGAAAACGTAGATGCTCTTATAAGGATTATGTCTAATGCATGAATCTAATGACTAGTACTTGCTGGCGGGCTGCTAAAATTATATTCACATAATTTCACTTCTCTTATTTTACAGGTTGATGCAAAGTATACTACTTAATTAATTCAGTCACAATCAGTTTTCTTTATTTTTTTCCCTATATAAAACCACCAATTAGTGGCTATAGAAAAAAAAGTATAACCTCAATTCTCTATGCAATGAATTTGTGTCGGAAAAAAGTGTTGTATGCTCACAATTCAAATATATCATAGTATATATTTATAGCCAGCTTCTTAATTTTCTGTTCGAGAACTCTTGTGCCAAAGGAGACTGAAGAGTCAAGATTGAATTGATTACAAACCTTTTCCACATGTTGTTGGACAGGCTCTTCACAATAGGTATCATTAAAAACACAAATATGTTATTTACAACTACTCCTATGTTATGTTCTGAGTCAAATCTTTCCTCCGAATCATTGTAAAAAATAAATATATCTTTTACAAGCCTGAGCAATAAAGCAATATCATTATTTTTTTGTGGTCCTCAGTACCACTATCTTAATAATCTGCTATCATAGGACAATAATATTCCATTATTTATGGGAGCAAAATCTAGTCAAGGAGCAGATATAATAAACTGCATTTTTATAGTTTTGTGTATTTTGAACAGTTGCAGTAGCTTGCTCCATTATTTGGTAAGATACCCGTTCATTGTATATATGTTCTCACCAATTATTTGTTTTCTAAAAAAAAATAATTTGAGACACCAACTTGGTAATATAAAATCATCTCAAGTGAACATGTTAGGTGATGTTTTAGTCTTCTAAATTATCTTTCATGATTCACCAAAATTTTCTACAGTATTTTGTAACAAGAGCTGATAGGAAATTACATCATTTTTATACTTCTACACTATAGAATCTTCTATAGATCCATATATCTATAACATGAGATATTTCATTTAATTTAAGAAAATGATTAACAATCATGTTGAGGGGATTAATTTGTTGTTTCCCCAGGTTGGAATTTAAACTGATGGCTTAATATTTTTAAGCTTCACAAAATTCAGAATTATCTGATAAGTGATGATACATATGCTTTAAAGAGTCTTACCCAGAAAACTCTGCAGCATATGAGTGAGCTTTGAATTCCTGTTGTACATAGAGGGCCAATGTTATCTAAAGAAAAGATAGTAGTAAGTGGTTATCACATGCACAAATAAAAGGAAAAATACTTGTATAATGTGAGTTGTCTTAGAGGCTAGTGCAAAAATGTCATCCCCAAGTGCAGACAGTGACTTGTTTATGAATTGTGATAGTGATGGAATCTTCAAGATGTATTTTCACATTGTATTTTATTTTCTGACACATTTATTTTATAATTTCAGGTCATACAGTTTGATATTCGATAATTTAGCAGGTGGACAATTTCAAAATGATGAAAAGTTGCGGAAATCATTTGAATACCATCATTCGCCTGGATTAGTTATATAATGACATTAGCTATTTAGTTCAAAGTTCACACAATATAGTTTAGTTAATATGACATCAATATTTTTGATTAGTACTTTCTTTTGTTTGTTAAGATTTAATGAGATATATTTTATTTTTTTTGAATTAAATATAATATATTTTCTTACTTGGGTCATATTCTTGATGAACGTAGTAACTATTATTAGTGGTGGCTACACTATTGCTATTATCGCTTGCGACTTTTAGTGCTAATTTAGTTGGATATACCACCTATATAAATGGATAGATGTTTTCACAAGGGTATTGCAGCCGTTATAATTGATATAACATAATTACCGTTAAAGATATTGATTTTTAGTGGCAATTTAGTTAAACATATTAGCCACTAAAATGGATGCTAAAACGACAAGCTAAGATATTTTCATAAGGGATACCATGGCCATATTAATTGCCAAAAATAATTGCCGTTAAAGATGCGAACTTTTAGCGACAGTTATTTTGAATTTAGCGGCTATAAAATAGATAATAACGGAGTATAATTAACCGTTATGGATTGGATTTAATAGACATTATAATTGTCGCAAACAATTGCCATTAAAGATGCGAACTTTTAGCGGTAATTATTTTGAATTTAGCGGCTATAAAAATGGATGTCAATGGAGTATAATTAGCCGTTATGGATCGGATATAGTAGCCATTATAATTGCCGCAAATAATTGCCGTTAAAGATAATAATCTTTAGTGGCAATAAATCATACCTTTTACCAGCTTTTGTGACAATAGCCGCTAAAGGCTTTGCCGACTCCAGCTTCAACGGCAAAACACTAATGGCCGGTAAAAGATATAGCGGCTATTGTTATTGCCGCTAAAGCCATTTTGTATTGCCGCTAAAGCCCATTTTTCTTGTAGCGAATTGGTTCTAGATTGGAAAGGTCCATATATTACAACAAGAGCATTGCCAAAAGAGTGCGTTGTGCTTGGGACGCATCGAAGGAAATGTCCCTGAAACAACCGTCAGTGCAAATGTAGACAAAATGTATTATATTTTATCCTCTATATGGCATTAATGCTCCGATTGGGATGAAGAATGCTTTCTGTCTCACTATCCAAATAATATCAACCCTTTGCAAATCCTTTGAGCCGGTTACTCTTCTTTGATTACCCTTTTTGGAACTTGAAAGTGTTATTGAAAAAAAATTTAAAAAATGAAATGAAATATGGAAAAAAATGAAAAAGAGAAGAAAAAGAAAGATACAAAAAATAAAGAAGAAAAGATAAAGAAAATGAAATAAAAAATGAAAAAATAGGAAAAAGGAAAGGAAAAAGAAAGATAAAACAAAATAAAACAGAAAAAAATAAAAGAAAATCAAAAAACAAAGTTCCTTCAACTACTGTGAGCACGTGATTTTTGCTTCACGGAAATTATTCCAAAAGAAATCGAAAAAAAAAAGTTACCTTTGGGTACAATTTTGAGAATTTACGTGACATTTTGGTAATTGTTTTGTCCGTGAATGTTTACCTTGTTGTAGTTAATTCAAAAATACAAAAATACAGGTCGCATGCATATTTAAGATTTAATTGTGCATTTAGGAATTAATTAAACCATAATTTGGTTTTCAAGGGGAAAAATCACAAAAATATGCATTTTTATTTTATCTGTCGTCATTGTGTGATTTTATTTTAACTAAACGTTTTAATTTGTGTGTTAATTATTGTTGAATGGTAATTAATATTTGTGTAGTTTAATTTTGGTTTTAATTTAATTAGAAATTTTTGTTTAAATTAAAAGAATGAAAAGGGAAGAAAATACCGGATTTGGGCCAAAAATTCAATTGAAAATCAGGCCCAATCCATTACATTTGACCCAGTCCACGACCTGGGCTTCCAAACGACGTTGTTTAGGTGTATTTGATCTGAGCCGTTCGTCTCACTTCATCTAACGGCTCCAGGCTTTCCCAGATACCCGACCCATTTCACCCAAAGACCGACCCAGGCTCCACGCGAGACCAAACGACGCTGTCCCCTTAAGTGAAGATCAAGGCCGTTGATCATCAATGATCCAACGGCCGAAATTCAACTCCCCCGTCCCGTATATAAACCCTCATCTCTCACCCCACGCCCCCGTAACCAAACACCCCC